CAGCAGTACACACGTGGCTTTTTGGACCGAAGGGCATCTGGGCCTGTGTTAGTTCTGAGTCCTTGGCTTAGATCACAGTTACCTACTGCCAGCAAGGTCTAAAGGTGCTGAGGGGGAGAGGATTCCAAGGCTTCTCCCTGAGAAGTGTGGATAATGGTTTTTCCCTCAGTGCTTTAGTGAGGGCTTCCTCTGTGTGCTGGAACGCTCTGTACTTGGCAGCTCCATACACCAGTCTTTCGCTTCCATGTATCATCTGCTCCTAACCCCTGGCCATGATCAGCTGCTGGAAAGCCATAATTTTGAAAAAAAACACAAAATAAAACCCATCCGGTTCTACAGTATCTATTTATATGGGCTGCATGTATGTTATTTTTCAAATGCCAACACCTGACATTAACTTAAGAGAGATTATTCTAGCTGGGTCTAATAAATGACATTGATTTAAACAATACTGAGCTGGTTTCTACACCTCAAGTGTGTAACAGTCATTGATGCTGGCTAGTCAAAGCTGTTAACTGTAGTAAACTGAAATAATTTCTGAGGAAACTAAAACACCTGCAAATCATAGAATCCCAGACTGGTTTGGGTTGGAAAGGACCGTCAGATCATCCAGTTCCAACCCCCTGCCATGGGCAGGGACACCTCACACTAGACCATGTCATAGAATCATCGAATCATAGAATAGTTTGGGTTGGAAAGGACCTTCAGATCATTCAGTTCCAACCCCCCAGCCATGGGTAGGGACACCTCACACTAAACCATGTCACCCAAGGCTCTGTCCAACCTGGCCTTGAACACCGCCAGGGATGGAGCATTCACAGCCTCCCTGGGCAACCCATTCCAGTGCTTCACCACCCTTACAGTAAAGAATTTCCTCCTTATATCCAATCTAAACTTCCCCTGTTTAAATTTAAACCCATTACCCCTTGTCCTGTCACTACAGTCCCTAATGAAGAGTCCCTCCCCAGCATCCCTAGTCCCCTTCAGATACTGGAAGGCTGCTATGAGGTCTCCACACAGCCTTATCTTCTCCAGGCTGAACAGCCCCAACTTTCTCAGCCTGTCTTCATACGGGAGGTGCTCCAGTCCCCTGATCATCCTCATGGCCTCCTCTGGACTTGTTCCAACAGTTCCATGTCCTTTTTATATTGAGGACACCAGAACTGCACACAATGCTCCAGGTGAGGTCTCATGAAGGCAGAGTAGAGGGGCAGGATCACCTCCTTCAACCTGCTGGTCACGCTCCTTTTGATGCACCTCACACTAAACCATGTCACCCAAGGCTCTGTCCAACCTGGCCTTGAACACTGCTAGGGATGGAGCATTTACCACTTCTTTGGGCAACCTGTGCCAGTGCCTCACCGCCCTCACAGTAAAGAACTTCTTCCTTATATCTAACCTGAACTTCCCCTGTTTCAGTTTAAACCCATTCCCCCTTGTTCATGCACATTGGTATTCCCAAGTCTGGCTGCTGAGATTCACTGTCTGTCATTACGCTGCGTGTTACACAGCCTTGACTCTTTACAAAGCTGGTTTCATGTGTGTGATTCACATACAGTAATTCACCTTCAAGCGTGCTTGTTTTAAGATGAGTCTGCCAAAGTACTTGTTTGGATCTGAATTTGATACGCAATCATCTAACAGTTGAAGCACGTCTAATTCATATATATTTTAAACTGGTCTATTTTTATCTCTAAATATTAGTCATTTACAGTACTGAAGAGTAATATTTTGCACAAGAACAGATTTTTGTTTAAGTACTTAAATCTATCTAACTGGATAAACTGCTAATGCTGCAGACTGGCATTCCAGTCCGAATGCTACAGCTGTGATCAAAAACTGCAGCTATGGTGATATCCCATTTTTTTTCTAGTTTATTAGATAAAAATACCTTTTGCAAAGTGTACTGCAGATAAGATTTTCATTAATTCTTTTTTACTATATTACACTTCTTTATGCAAGATTTGGCTGAACAGAAGTATAAGCAGAATTACATCCCTATTAAGGTGTGGTAAGTAGGTGTTTTCTCACTTAAAGTAAGATCTAAAAGTTTCACTAATAAGGTAAAATTTCACTCTTATCCAAGCCACTTAAAATGCCACAACCTATTTTCTGTAAAAAACACCTTAACGTTTTCTTAGCCAAAGAAGTCTAAATTAAGGCCTTGATAACTAATACGCAATATACTTAATATATGTCTGTACTGCAACACCTTTTAGAAACACCTTGGTGACAATTATTTAAGAGATCTAAAGGAAAAGATTCCCTGCTGTCAGCAGCAGACCTCCGGATCTGGTCATTATTACTCTTAGTCTTACTTCAAAATTTCTACAAGCAAATGGAGTTTTATAAGTTCAGGTTTTATTTTCTGCAAAGTAAAATTAATGTAAACATTCATAATTCATATTTACTCCATCCATTAAACCTTGGTGTACCATGGCACTGATCTGATGGCAGTCAGAACTTGAAAGTCAGGTTGCTTGCCCATGACAGAGGTTTCTAAATCAATAAATACAATTGAAAATGAAAACAGTTCACAATATAAAAGCACAGGATCTGAAACCAAATGCTGCAGTACACAGGCGCCATTCTTTAGAACTGTGTAAATAGAACAACTGTCACTAGAACACCCTCTATAAAAATAAAATGCTTTGTTAATATCTGCTGTTACCTAAAGTTCGGCAAATCATGCCAAATAGCACAAAATACAGTAGCTGGAAAATGTAGGCCCATCTCATTCTTCGGCATAGCTGTGTAGAAATCAAGGGGGATTATCTGCTCCTTCCTTAAGCTTTTTTCTTTTTTCTTCTAGTGTTTGTCGAAATACTTTTTTCAAGGTGTTATAAACATATGGTCCATTTTCAGAATCAAAGCTTGTCTGATAAAAGGGAGAAATTGAAGTTCAGTTGTTAAATTGATGTCATACAGCAAAATGCAAAGGAGATGACCAACATAAAGAAAAGTTTTAAGATTTATCAAAGGAAACCTATGCTTCATGATGGAGTACTTAATGCTGAGTATTTTCAATGTTATGCTGACTGGACAGTAAAACAAACTAGTAGAAGGAGAAACGTCACTTGTTTCAACAGGTAACATGTACAGGTTACAAGAGATTAGGAAGCAGGATGATGAATGTTCTGTTCGTATAACTTTGCCTGCTGAATCTGAGAAGCAAGCAGCTCTGAGCTGAGCAATGGCAAGTCTAACCTGGCACTGCTATTAAATGATCCCAAAAGCAGAAGTTATTTACGCACAACCTATATTAAGGACCCAAAACATAACTGAACTGCAGTGTAATTCAGAACATGATTTTAATCTGATGGAAAGGCTCCGAGTGGTACAGGATCAACAGAAGCCTTTGGTAAGCTACTCCTAGTGACTAATTATTCTTACCCTTAAAAAATTATCTTTTCCCTAATCTGAAGAAGCCCATGAATTGGCAGTGATCCAAACCCAGACAAATGAGACTGACAGATTAAGGCTGTAGTGACAGAATTTAATGTTGCTGAGAATATTTTGTACCCTTTCTGTAGGCTGATTATTATAAAATGTAAATTCTGAGAGTGAAGCATGTGGACACTACGTGTGAAGGAACTGCTGTAACCTTCCTCACAGAGGCCTGCTCTGTTAATGCACCCTCCATGATTTAAAACAAATAAATAAAGATGGTTACTTGCCTTAGTGAAAGCTTTAATAGCACGAGCAAGTAAGGCCTCCTCCACATCGGCTGGTAGCATTTGCAAGTTCACCACACAGTGTAAAATACAAAGGATAGTCTGACACTGTTCCTGGTGGGCAAAAGAACAGCAGCTCATTAGAAGAAATATTTTCATGAAAAACATTTAATTTTCAGGTTTTGTTAATTGCTGCTTAAATATCAGACTGTGCCTTCATGTATTGAAACCTTCAGGTGCAGGAGTTAGGGAGGGAATTTTCACCAGCCTAAAAAAAAGCCTCTACATTATTATTTCAGTCATGGTGGAAGAAACTCTTCTCTTGCAATGTACCACAAACAGCTCTGGAAAGTTCTAGGAGGTTGGACATGCATCTGGAGACTGATTTTTAAAAGTCCTCTATAAAACAGTGGCATTCTTGAGAACCGGCATGGAAAAAGTGAGAGTTGATCTTTTCAGCCCCAGATGTTACGCATGTTTAAGGCTCTTTCCCCAAACCACTGAAGGAAGCTTGCAGGAAGACACCTGGGCAGTACTAGCAAAGGGAGTGAAGTTATCTCTGGGGTGCTAATTCCATCCCTTTTCCAAGGGAGATAAATCACACTCCAGGGACTTCACTTCATGACAATTAAATTAAAACTTCAGGGATTTCTGGGAGGAGCAGCTAAATATGCACCAGTACATACCAGGGGCTGACTGCCTGGAGACCAGATTGGCAGGAAAGAACCTGGTGTCCCAGTGCATGCAAAGTTGAACATGAACCAGAAATGGGCCCTTGTGGTAAGGGCAGCTTAAAAGCGTCCTGGGCTGCATTAAACAGAGAGTTGCCAGCTGGTCAATTGAGGTGCGATGTCTGGACTACTGGGTCCAGCTCTGAGCTCTTTGGTACAAGAAGGACATTGACACACTAGAACAAGTCCAATGAGGGGCCACAAAGATGATTCAGGGACTGAAGCATCTCACATACAAGCAACCTGCTCCAGTTGACTCTGTTTGGAGAAAGGCAGTTGGATAGTCCAGAGGTTCCTGCCAACTATTCTGTGATTCCAAAACAATTTAAAAAAGATAATATAAGATAAACTAGTATTTTTTAAATATAACCCCCCATAATTATTAATCATTTCCATTAATTTATAACGTGTCAGACAGTAATTTTTCATTTCATACAAATAGAAAATTAAGACTGATAAGAGTGGAGGAATGCTTCAGGAAGAAACATGGTGGGTTTAGATGAACTCAGTTATTCTGAAAGTCATGTCATGAAGATGGTGACTGCACGTAGAGTTCTCACCACCTGTTTATTAGAAGCTGTATTCCTGGATATCTGGAGGCTGTTAAGAAGGGCCGCATTTTCTTCATAAATACTTCAAAACCAGAGAATTAGAAAATGAAATTGTGTGAGAAGAATAGAGGGGAGTTGTTTGTTGGGAAGGTGTTTGGGGTTTTTTTTATATCCCTCACATCTAGCCCTTTGGGCAAAGCACAGTTAAACAGCTGGGATCAGAAGTACCTGTTTTTCATAAATATTTCAGAATACAGATGGCCACAGTTCTGATGTACATTGAAGAATTTGGCCTGGCTTCTGATTCCTCAAATTGGCAAATTCTATGTATTCCTTGTCCCAGCTCTTCCAAAGCTAATGGACTAAGATGCTTGCACAGCAAATATGACAGCCATGAGGCACAGCTGTCAAGATGGGACATTAACAAAAGCCATCCATTGAGTCACAGAGAGAAGGTTTCTCATCTTTGCCTGTGGATCTCACACTGCAGAATGTGCAGGGCAATATGCTGAAGGTGAGCTTCTACTCAGCAGTGTTCACAGACAGTATCTGGTATTTTTCCTATCATATTAATCATCATAGTACTGATTAAAACTTACACTCTTCAATACTATAATAATCTTCATTCTTATTTTGAAATAGACTGAAGTCAAGTACAATCCCCTTGTCTGAAGACCATAAATGAATAGTTTAACATGCATTAACAAAATGTACTTGGCAGTTAAAGAATTAATTTACAGATCTACCTTTCTCAGTAAGTAAAGTGCCTCTTGTGACTCTGTGCATTTTTGTGCCAGCATGTCAACATCATCTTTGGATATAATAGGTTCTTTCAGCTGCTCTATCCATGACCACATCAAGCTACAGAGGATAAAAGGATCTCTCTCGGTACAGATTTTATCCCAAGCTCCATCTCGAGCATTCAGTTCTTTCTTCAAAACAAAACAAAACAAAACTGAAAATGCATCATCTCTTTCCTTTTGGCAACATTCCCTTTGGCTGCTTATGTTCTAACAAAAAAAGAAAACAAAAAAAAACCTTAAGAGTTGCAAAAAAATTTAAAACTCTAATTTTTTTACAAGGCATCAATATTTACCAACACAAGTGATCCCTTAATACAGAAGGATGACATACAGTGCACCTCAGAACCTCCCCATTATCTACTAGAATACATAAACCAGGTTGGATTCCAACTTCAAACATTGCCAGGAGGATTTGGCTTTGAGGATAAGCATTGAAGTTTCTATTAAATTCTTTTACACACAGAATCCTCCAATGAGTTCTGAGAAAGCACTGATTAAAATCAACACAGCTCTACATGAAAATCTGTAGTACTCTTACGCTACCAGCAGCCAAGTTACAACCGCAAGTACTGCATCAGTTATCTTTAGTCACGAAAAAGATTGAACACAACAAGAAGCAGTGTTCTAATCTCCTGCTAGAGACCAAAACTGTAGGTGTATTTTGCTTGCTTTTGAATGAACTGGCCTATAATTGGCACATGCAGTCATTCACTGAACCACAGTATAAACTGGTGTCCCAGCGTGCCATTTCAAAGCTCATGGTGGCATTTTTGCCACCTAGGAATTAACCTAGGTGAAATATGCAGAGCACGTAACATTGAAACAAGTTAATAATTACCTGCCACATTTCTACCTTCTGTTTCACTTCATCCTCTTCCAAAAATTCATTTATATCTGCAAGTGCTTTTGCTGCCAAAACTCTTCGGGCTTCCAAACTTAATTCTGACTGTATAACAATGTGTGGAATTGCCTCTGACACATCTTTGCTCCCTTGGCTTTCACATCCAATGGAAAAGTTCACTTTAGAAGAAGAAGAAGAATCTGAGTCCTCAGAGACATAGACTCTTCTGCCATACATATTAGTCTTGTGGTCTTTTCTATGAGCAGTCTCATTGGTAAAATTATGCCCTGGTGTTCCAGGTTCCCTGGTGTTGTGGATAGATGACAGACCTGAAGAGAAGGTTCTGCTGCGTGGCACTTCTTTGGTAGAGTTCCTTCTGTGGTGAAGTGAGGACCCATCTTTTCGTCCATCCAGATTAAATTTACCTTGACTCCAGAACATGCATGTATTACGCACTAATGCTCCTTTGTGTAAATCAAACTGTGGCTTTTGGTCATCTGTGGCAGAACATTCCTCACCACTGTTCTGCTTAAGTTTGTTGCACAGTAATATCTGAGCAGGTACTGTCCAGGCAGTTTCTCCTTGTTCTAAAAGAAATTCAGTTCTCCTTAAATCTGACTCACTATAGCTTAGACGCCTTTTCAGGTGAGTAAGAGGCTGGAGGCATTCAACATTCCTTCTTTTCCAAAGAGGATCACAATCATGTCCCAGAGAGAAAAGAGAATCCTGGGTCTCAAAAGTGGATGAGTTGGTGTGGGAGTCAGATGTATCACTGTCCTGCCTCGCAAGTTCTCTGTCCAGCTGTGTGGACACTAACTGAGAAACAGTCTTTTCAATTTCAGCTGAGAGATCTGGTAGATCTAACAGTTCTGCCTCTATCACTTGTCTGTTTTCAGCCAAGTCTAGCAACAACTTGCAAACTAGATGAATAAGTTTTGGCACATGTTTGAGATGCCTGCTCTCATAACCATGGAGCAGATGCCTCTGACGGGTCAGGTACTGGGACAGGGTCACTGTGTGTGCCTTGGGATCACAGCATGCAAATACATTTCTCAGAGGAACCAAAAACTGAGTGAATTCCCTGATGCATAGTAACTGCCCTCTTGTCTGAATAGAATTAGGCCTTTTTGCTCTGACAAAAAGAATGGCTTGATCAGCACTCATTCTTGTTGCAAAAACTAAGTAGCAAGCTATTAGAACACCTGGAAAATACAAACACAAGCATTAGTTGAAGAACTGTCAGACTAAAGCAAATACTTAGTGGAACTATAGGATAAAGATTAATATAGGTGAAGATACAGGCTTTATGTCCTCTCTCACATGATGCTCTTACTGAAGTATAGTTGCATTTGTTGGGTCACAAAATAGCAAACCCATTCTCATGGTCAGTGAGAAAGATAGTTTCTCACCACAGCATCTCTGGGAGTTCCACAGGAGCAATGGTGGTTTCTACAGGAAGGACATGGGCAAAACAGTCTTGAAAGAAGTAACAGATCTTAGCTGCTCCACCAAATCCACCTCATCTAAAAGTGAGTGGCAGGTTTGTAACCATGTAATAAATACTGGACAATGAAACTATTGGTGAAATGAAAGTATAGGTGAATTTTTCCCATTAAAAAAAAAAAAGGTGTCCCATTTGAATGGAACAGGGAATTATTATACAGATTCAAAAACTCGCTAACATTACAGGTCCTGTTTTTAATATAATAAAGTTGATCTCCTGTAGCCATCAGATAATTTTCACAAATGTTTAGCATTTTTAACCATTTTATAGATCTACATCTTGAAATGATACAGAATCAAAACAAACTATTAATCATTTCTAACTAGAGAAAAAGAATTCTGGGGATTTTGCAGGAGAGCACATACCTGTTCGACCAAGTCCTGCATGACAGTGAACAGCCACCCTCCCTTCCTGCAAGGCGAAAGCCATGACTTTTACCATATCCAGTATAGTAGTGAGAGATGCCACTCCATAGTCCTTCCATCCAAAATTATAAAAATAAACTAAAATAAAAAGAGAGTTATTTTCTGCCATCCCCAATGTGAAGTTTTCAGTACTATACACAGCAGAGAGATGACTAATAAATGAGAGCACTAAAAAACTGCATAATGGATCTTAGACTCTAACTACATGTTGTTTGCAAGACACTATTTTCCCATTGCACTGTACACTTGCTCTTGAAATTTGATAAATACATGAAGCTAGCGAAGATTTGTCAAACTAAAGTTCAGCAAGAATGTAAAAGGTGTAACAAAACGCAGTGATTCATACCAAAATTACTGAGCTATATATAGAGAGAGGGTAATTTTTTCTATTTAGAAATAAAAGCACTTCTTCAGTCAAAAGCTGCTTCCTACAGAGAGGCACTTCTCCTCATCTCACCATAATACAAAAATACAAAAATACTGTCACTGCAAATGTCCTCCAATGAAACAACCTTTTATAGTCTAGATAAGAAAACAGGAATTGTAGCAGAATTTGAAATGTCATTAATGGTGTTCACATTAATTGTGAACTCAGAAGAAAACGACAGATTTAACCAGCCCTAGTCCTGTCTTTATTCTAAACACCAGAACATAAACCCTCTGTCTCACTCTAGATATCAATGACCTTTGACAATGTGTTATTCACTCTCAATTATATTTGCCAATTTTCATGTTTATATCCCATTTTGTGCAACATTTCTTACATAGCTGTTTTAAACAGACAAGAATTCAAATACAAACACCTTTAAGTGCAAAAATCAATAATTAATGAGGAAGAGCAGCAGGAGTGGACTCACTTCCAGCCTCCATAAAAGCTTCAGGAAGGTAGGTGAAGCCACTCTCTTGTTCTAGTGGATTCCCACAGCTTGCATGCTCCCCAGGACGCTGAAGGTTAATTATGGTTTTTATGCCACATCTTAAGGGAAGAATAGATGAGTCAAGGTATTATATGCAGCCAAAATCTCATTATCCCTTATTTTCTGAAACACACATTAATTCTTAGTGGAGAATAAATCTTTACCTGTCTATCATTAAAATGAAAGGATCTTTATCAACAATCCAAATCTATGTTGAAAGATAAAATGGATCAGGAATTACGCTAGTAATACTTACAGTAAGTAATGACTAAATTTGTTACCTTTCAAACTGTTCAATAATTTTGTACTTTTCAATTAATTCTGTTGAGGGTCGAGCCATAGCCAGTATGTTATCTGTAATCCTGCGAAATCAGAAAAGTAGATAATAATGCTGTTATTAATAATTCCTTGTATATGAATCTACCAAAGTTAGAATACTCTGTGATGATCAAAACCAACAGAAATATCTTGCTGATTTACCAGAAATGATTTTTAGTAAATTCTACTATCATATAGTGTTAGTGATAAATCCTGTTAAGCTGATACAGATTCAACAATCAAAAGACAATTACTGGAACTGTTTAAATGCCAGGCCAATGAACATGGTAAAAAATACAGATCTGTTTGGCCTTTTAAGGTCTGTATGTGCTGAACAGCACTTGCTGTTGCAAAAAAATCAGTAAGAATGTAGAGACACGTTTCATGTGACTGTTACTGCACATAAGCACATTTCAGAACACGCCTTTCATTACTTCATCTTTAGTAAATGTTTGTAGTTCTAAATTCTATTATGAACACATTTTAATTCATTTGCATTTTAAACGTCAGCAAGGACCGTCTATAACCCAGAGCAGGTTCTTTGTAATTCTTGCATATAGATATTTATTCTTTTGGATCTGAATTAAACTTAGTGTATGTCGGCAGAAATCTTTCATCATCTTTACTGGGCTACGTACAATGGCCATTATGGTTTACTGTGAAGCTGTAATTCTGAACCAAGCTATCATTATGTCTTATACTTAGCAGCAGCTGATTTAAAAAAAAAATCATTACTTTCTTTTGAATTCTCTCTTTTAATAAATACAATTGATGCAATTACATTTTAGTGAGAGCAAATGCTGCTTATTACCAAGAAGAGTAGAGCCCTTTAATGGCTTGCTCCTGGTCACTCCATCGAGCTGGGTTTTCATACTTGCAGGCACGGCCACCACATGCCATCGAGCACTGCATATGGCCAGGAATGACGTGGCGAAGGTGCTCCCCTACTTTGGTGTATTTTGCTGTTGGACGCCTCGAGCTTCCTGGAACACAGGGAAAAACAGACTTCGTAAGAAAGCTGAGAAATGCATCTCCACCTTAAAAGTGTCAGTTCAACCCTAACAGTTCCACTTCATCAATATGAAGTTACAAAACCCATAAATACATGGAATATAGATTTAAGGCTCATTTTCCAATACAGACTTCAAGGAAGCATTCTCAGGGGAAAAAGTTGCTTGCATTACTGCAGAAGTTGTCATTTCTCACAGTAACTTTAGTTTCTCTGATGGATTTAGAGGTGTGCAATACCCTTTGCAACAGAAAAACATGTCACTGTCCTCTTCCACCTGAAATCAAAAATACTTAAATACTTAGCCATACACTTGACATGGGGGTTAGAACTGGATGATCCTAATGTCCTTTCCAATCCTAACCATATTACGATTCTATGTGTGAACATGTTCTTCTGGTTCTTTATAACTCAGCTGTCACAGAGAAAAGCATGTATTAATTCTTGAGTAAGGAATGAGTGAACAGGAAAAATAATTAAACCTGAGTATTTTATGCATCTCTATAAAATACAGTTAACAGAAGTATATTCATTTAATACCAAGAAAATGCCCAGAACTGCCAACAGTCTTAACAAAAAGTACTTTACTTTTTTTCTCAGGAAAAGTTGCATCCAGCTCCTCGGGGCTCAGAGATGACACCGCCACCATAACCCGGTGAGTCGATGATGAGAGGACCTCGACAGCTGAGCTCCGCCGCCTCTGGATGATGCGAAGCAGGGGATCGGAGGAGGAATGCCTCCGACCCTGGAAAAAGTTGCTAAAAATACTGACTGCCGAACGTCTCCGGGGTGAGCCCTGCATGACTGACCAGCCCCAGCCAGTGGCTGGCTGTTGAGGATGCCCCGATAGGAAACCCAACTTGCTCAGTGCTGAAGTTGCGTAGAGCTGTGCATCCTTCTGTGTGCTCCAGCAGCTCATCAGCATGGGCTGAGCTATCTCCATAGTAACTAACAGCGAAGGAGCTGCTGCCAGCCATCCTTGGGGCTGCTCCAGTCTATAGGAACGGAGACTCTTTGGGACAAACTGTTCTGCTGCTCGATGAAAATAGTTGCATTTCAAATAGATAATTTTGCAAATGGCTTGGGAACAACCAAAACATTTTCCATAAACAATGTGGGCATTTAGTTCGTTGTCAATAACATGCATTCAGAACTCACTAAGGCACAAAATACTGGATTCAAAAGAACAATCAAAATGTAGCTGGAGACTCAGCTTCCTGAGAAATCTATATGTAAGCACATTATACTCCCCCACCTTTTGGTTAGACATTCCACAACCACCTCTCCTCCCCCACTTAGTTGCTCCAAAATGCATCATTAGCTCTGTAATGATTGGGATTAGTGTGTTCCTACTGAAATGGTTCAGTACATGATGAATTGTAGACTGTTCACTCTGCACCATTCATATCTTCTAACAAAACACAATGTGTTATTCAAAACAAAAGACTTATTTTTTTTCAGGGCACAGCTGTTTTATTAAGCAAAGCTGTTAGCCTTGCAGACTGAGATAAAGCAGATGATGGGGGGGGGGAGGAGATGGATCTGTTGAGTGCTTTAGGCTTTTGAAGGTAGATATTAGGTGGCAAATTGCCTCCCACTTCTCTTTTAAGTGTGCTAAGAAGGAGAATGAGCTGGCCAGAAAGATTGCAGCGCTCTCAAAAGCACATTTTCATGCCACTGTGTGGAGAACAGACTGTAGCAATGCTAAACTTTGTCATCCCATTGTCTGTGCATTTGACTGCAGGTTAAAGATGGGGAAATCAAGAAAACCCACCATAACTTTGTTCAATAAGCAGCTGCATAAGCAGCTGCATTTTCCTGAAGATACATTCAACCTGTGCTGCTTTTTGTACGACAAAACCAGCACCTCTTATAGAGAAGCCTGCATAAGAGAAAGCTCTCTTACAGTAAAAATTCACAAGGCAAAAATCTACTATTTCTTCTAGATACTGAACAGGAATTGAGTGACTGAACTGTGAGTACTGCACCCCGGTCCTTAAGGAAATGTGGTAAGGTTTGTTGCAGGCACCAGGCCTGAAACATCAGTAGTGATGTCATGGGAGGAAAGGAAAATGTTAACAATGACTCTGCTAGCTGTTGTCTCAAAACTCTGACTACTGTAATTCAGCAATAAAGCTAGTATAAAGAGATGAGGAAAGAGTTAAATATAGTTTTATTTGGGGGGTTGGGTGGAAGAGAAAGGAGATGAAAAAGGCTATTTCAGGTGCTATGCATATCCAAGAAACATGGAGGATCTTTTCTAATTAATTATATTGCTTTCTTATATGTAATGCTTTTTCTCTACCCAGAAATTCTTCTTCAGTGTATATCAAAAGACAGTGGAGCCAGAAATAAGCAACGTAAAATACTGCATGTCATTATTTTCCTCCTGAATGTAGCAGGATTTGACCCAAAACAGTAAGAAATAATTACAACCTGTAAGAGTGGAAATACTTTATTAGGAAGGGGAGTTTTGCTAAAGATGTGTTTGTTTTTTCAGAGAGCTGGGCTGTTTCTGAGCACAAAAATTACAGTTTCTTCAACCAAGAGATGTGACAATACGAATGTTACAGAAAAGCTTGACATGTTAACACATCGTGGTGATGATACAGTAATGCAGTCTGGTTTTGTGTATAAATATTTTATGTTTATAATTGGGGATAGTATTTCTGGGGTTTATAATTTTCTATGGAAAATGGTTTGGGGTCTTGGAGAGGTTTGGTTTGGTTTTTTTTTTGTGTTTTTTTTTTTGTGGTTCCCCCCCCACCTCTGAATTTCTTGAAGCATTTTTTTCTTGCTATATCAGAGAAAAATTATTACCTGAACTCATATTTGCAAGATACAAACTGCTCTCTAGCAACGAAGAATACGGTAGTTCATTTTGCAGCAGAACTCCTGCAGCCATTGCAGTACCTGTTGAAACAGTAATAACATTCACTGAAAATCTGCAACAGAAGCACAAAAATGCACAATAAAGCTGAAAATCAAACCTGGCACCTGTTTATGAAGTTGTCCAAGAACTGGGCAGCCTGACAGGGCCTGTACTGCCCTTTTGGTGCACAGCATCTTAAAATTCAACAGCTTCACTCTCCATCCTAGCAATTAGAAGTTTAGTTGATTGTGCATTTCAAGCTCTATGGAGTTTGACTGATGATGTGCTTTGTAAATGCATGTTTTATATGGACAAGAATCCCTCAACTCATTTAATGTAAAGCCATGTTGATTTTATCACATTCTTAAAAGTAAAAACATGACCAGAGATCCTGACTAGAAATCTTGCAATGGGCAGTTTCAGCAAAGCCAACGGTATCATAACGGCAGCACCGCTTCTACATTGCGCCATTTATAGTTCTAGTTGATACTTGCCAAACAGACTGTCCACAGGCCTTATGCCTTCTCTACTCTCTTCCCTCTGTTTTTAGTCTGTTGGCATGCTTAAAGTCACATGTGACGATCCTCCTGTAACAAGAAACCTGAACACAGGCATCTGTCTAAGCTGAAAACAGTTTTTTTTTTTCTCTTGCTTTAGTATAATTTTTAATACAAGTCCTGTTCTGAAGACCTTCTATCTGACAAAAAAAACATAAGGGAAAGCTGTAAATGTGAACATATTAATCAGCCACTCTGATGTTTAAATAAAACATTTACATGGCTCTTGAGTGGATACTGTTACCCAGTGTAAGATCACCATTCTGCTTCTCTTACCTCTATAGGAAAATTGCTGCACATATAACAAACCCCCATTTTTTTTATACCAAACTAAGTACATCTTTGCTCTATGATGTGTTTTTTTACTAACTAGGCAAAACTTAGGCCTCAAATTCTGCAAAACCAGTATAAGGACTAAGCAGTATAGATAGTGTTTTAAAAGACAGGTTTGCTAAAAGAATAAATAGCACTGTGGGGATGAGGTGGTGTAACAGTCTCAAGTATAGTGTTAATATTTATTGTCCACCTTTTATCTGTAATTCTTCATAGATGTTTTTAAAGTAAATATTTAAACAGATTTAAATAGAATCTCATTCATGCAGATATTACATGATCTATCACATCCTTGATATGTGATAGAATCAACTGTTTGTCCAACAGTGCTAGTGGACTTTATTCCAGAACATCATGTAGTGTAGCTCTTTCCTTTTCAAGATGCTTAAAGGTGGAACAGAATGCACATACACATTAATAAACTTTTAATACTGCTATATCAGTTGCCTCAAAATCATGAGAATTACATTTCTCAGTAAAAGCCAAAGGCCCTTTGAAACTTCAGTGATCCTCAGAAATTAATTTCTAATGTAAACATATTAATAGGACTATGAATTAAAATGAATCTTATTAAGGATTAAAGAATATCTGGAGCATTTTCTACTCAGCTACTTCGAGCATCTGACTCTGCACTTTTAAAAGTCTATCCTTTAATAAAGAGGCAGAAATGCTTGCATATAATTGCATTCTGTTTGGAGAAGTTCCAAAACCTCTATACTTTTCCCAGCAGACTTTGAAATCAGTAAAAGCTGGCTTTCATGATCAGAGGGAACTTTGTAGCTAAAGAAATTATTTTATTCCCCAAAATAATTTTCAGGGTTAGTAAGAGTTGAATTAACTAAAATTGTGAGTTCCTACTTCTCAGAAGGTTCTCCTAAAAACTCTTAATAGCTTCTAATAGCTTGTTCAGATTACATAAACCATTTTTTTTTTTTTAAGCAGAATTCAGGCTGTCAGGGACCCTTAACTGAAAAGGGAAAAGATGGAGATTAATGCAGAAGATAATATACCTACAGTGTTAGGGAATACTAGCAAGATTGTTCTAAATGGCAGAGGCAAACACTGCGTATATTTGCAGTGCAGCAAGTAAGAGCTCCCTTTCAGAAGATACACCAAAGCCCTATTTCCTGTGCTGTATAACCAGGCAGTTCCAACTGACTTCAGTATTTTGTCCACGTGCCTGCCAGTTTTCTGTCTTTATTTCCTGACAAGTGTTTTAAATTGCACAGTATGATCCATGTGAGCAATTCACTTGTATTTATTTCTGAAACAGAAAAGTGAAGCAAGATTATGACAAATTACTTCATGGAATTCTACTGCTCTCCCTCAAACAGATGTAAAATGTAATTTGGGACAGGAAGTACTATCTCAGTGTTGATCTTACTAGATAGGGGTACTACATTCCTGCACAGATAAAGAGTGTTAATAGTAAAAACAGTGCTTAAGTAAAAGAATCAACACTCCTGATTCTTCTATGTAGCAGATACTCTTAGTTTTTAAAAGGTCCTCTTCAGCAGTTTGTTCATCATATGAACACTCAAAAGGTGCTGAAGAAAAAAACAAGCCCAAAGTGTTATTCCAGGCCATGGTCCTCATTATCTGTCTGAGGAATGTGCTTGTGGCGATCATGGTACCACCTTAATCAGATCCGCTCAGTTATCTGGGACATGCATTTCTATTGCCATGACAGCAAAGAAGACTGCTCTTTCAGTCCCCATTCAAGACATAGAACGATGTCTCAGGTAATGTTCATTCTCTTTATGGTTCATCATAGGAAGCAGTATCATTAAGTGTGCAGGAACAACACAGCTAATGAAACCAAGACAAGAGGAAAATAAAGTCTGTGCTGTTGGCTGTCTGAAGTAAAAAGCAGCACCACACTGCCCAAAGAAACAAGGATCTCTAGAAATCATGATACACCATCAGATGTCAAGGACTAAGGGGAATATTTCAGGAAGTCCCCTCCAGGTGTGAATTTTATACTTGGTTTGATGTCTATATGAACTTTTGAGGTGTGGGGGATGTCCCACTTTTGAGCAGATCAATTCCTATCAGAAAGGATCTAACATTTTTTGTTTCCTGTTCATTGCACCATTGATTCACTTGTTGCCTTAGTCAGGTAACATGACAGCTGTCAAGCCCTGCTCACTGCTTCATACATGTAGAGAGGGGACTTTCTTGCAGAGGAAGTAGTATAGGCACACTGCACTGAGATAGGTGAGATCACCCTGTGCTTCCACTTTCTTTTAAGGAGTGAAGCAGCCTCTTGTCCACACTCATTTCCTCGGAAACAAAAGCATTCTGTGAAATTACAGGATGAGTAGTTCAGTATCATGCAGCAAGGACAACTGAAATCCACAATGAAGCAGGCTCTGGACCTTTATGGTGACCAGAATGACAAAGAAGGAGCACACTGGCGGCATATTGTCCTGATTCACATGACCAGGCTGCAGTGTGGATGCATCACACGAGCAGTGGGGCTCACCACTTAGCAACTGGCTTAGGTGTCACTGCCTTGTAACAAGGAAGACTTCCTTTTAGTACATCAGGATCTGGAAATCAGTGGCTTCCAGTCACTGGGATGAATTTTTGCTCCAGAACAAAGTGAGAGAAAAAAGCAATGTCCAGTGTTTTAGCAGCCATAAAAAAAAATCATATAGCCAAAAAGTGATGAGACAAGAAGATGCTGGTCTCACTCTACCTTAGCAGTTAAGATGCTTATTTAAAAGATGCAACTACTATCTTTCACTTCAGAACATGTTTTCAGGGCAGAGCGAAAAGCTTGTGTTCCAGACTGGAACAATTCCAGTTGGGGCAGTTCAGCTGCTGGCACAAACAGTAATCCCATTGTAAAGCTACCCAACGGATTTCTGCGGAACTCTACTAATAGTGACGTGTCATCTCTCCAGATCCATGTGGATTTGGTAAGTAAGAATATGACAGCTGACCACACACTTCAAAAGATGACGTTTATGTATGAACGTGGAAAAATCTTGGTCAAGATTTCAATTTTAAAACATTAGTGTAGAATAAAAGCTATTTTATACCTCATATATTCATACACTATAAGCAAATGCTGATGCTTGTGACTCTCACATGAAATTTGGAGGTTATTTTTAATATTTTCTTGCCTTCTAAACTGATTTTGTCCCCTCCCCATTGCAGTGACATGTAAGGAACTATCCCATAGTGCAATTTTTAAAGGCACATGGTTGACTACAGACTCAGGTAGGGGCCATATCAGCTTTGTACCTAAGCACTTGGGTAATACCTCTAACATTTACTCTGTGGCCTGATTCTGCAGGTACTTATCTTCCTGAGCAGCTTTGCTTTTGTGAGCAGTCCCACAGAAGTCAACAGGGTATTTGTCTAAACATCAGATCACATGGGATAAAGTTTCATGGCCAAAATGCAAAGTTCTTAAACTGCACGAGTAAGATGTTTTAGAGACGTAACTAAAGTTAACTTAGACAACTAAGACTAAGCAAAAATATGTTAGTGTAAGGAGGACTGGGTATGTTAACAAAGTGACTACTACATTACAACTTGGTCTCTAAATTTAGGCTTTAAATCTGGTGTTTTGAGATTGGCAGATCATGAAAGTTTTTAACAGAAAAATCTTACAAATCTGCTGAGACATAATCACTTCTACAGGAAGCACTGGCAAAGGAAACTCTGTATTTTAAATTACTACAGACTGATTTTAACATTGCTGGGAATAACAAAGAATTTATTTCTGAAGTGCTGTAAAAATCATAGGTAACTGTTTTGTGTTAAAATAGCTGCAAAGGGTGTTGTTCTAGTATATATACCAGTAAGTAGGATCATGAGGAGTAGGTATTTTAGAAATACTTAAGCTACAGTTAACAGAAATCTTGAAGGCAGTTTTAGCATCGAGTATTTAGTAGGTACACAGCTCAATTCCCTCGGCTTATTTGAAATGTGAACTATTTACTACTCAAGATACGGGACAGAGAAGTCAAGGTAATAATTTAACCAATTTTTCTTATACTTCAGTTTTATGTAAATTGCACAGAAAAACAATACTGCAGCTCTTGTAAAACTGATTTCACTGGGACCACAACCAGAACTGATCTGTTATTTCTGTACGTGTTTTTCCCCCTTTGGGAAAAAAATATTCCCCATCTGTTTCAGTAAAAGGTGAATGTCATTTAATCATTAAGTTTGATATTTACAAAGGACTGTAGCTGCTTTCACGCACAAAAGAGACAAAAGAATATAATTCATTAGATGATGTAGGTGTTGGTCTGATGATTCACTACTTGCTAATCATAGGGTTTTTGACATAAATGGCAAGAAACTACAAGCTAAACTGTCTACGGCTGACTTGATTCATATTAAGTCACACCAGCTTTCTGCGGCAGTGTTAACCCAATAGTTAACAGACGTTATTTAAACTACCTTGAACAGGCTGTCAGCCAGTAATTACTATTAAGAATCATAAAGGAGATAGTGTAAAATGAATACATTCACTGTTCCACAAACAGAACTGGTGACCTCAGATACTCTTTATCATGAATATCATGTTTACTAAGAGACTATCAGACTTGTAAGACCAACTACATACAGAAGAATGAAGTATTGTCAGTAACACATTTAAACAGCATTCAGAATTGGAAAAGTTTAAAAATTACTTCATTAGAGGAATTATTCTTTAATCTCATATTCAAAGCCATAGGAAGTTTATGAATAGTTTCAATAATTTCATTGTGACACCTTACCTGTTGCCCTGCAAAAAGAGTAGGTGATTGTTGATCCCTTCATTGTTGCAGTATCAACCACAGGAAATATTTTGTAGGGAATTCACATTTTACAGGAGAGAAGCAAATGCTGCTGCCACAGTATTTCCTGTAGTTAATTGGATTCCTGATGGTAATCTGGGAGGAGCCAGTAACTATCTTTTCTTCACTTAAGACTGTTTGAGGACTGCCTTATGGCCTGTGCAGATAATCATCCCATAAACTACTTTCTTGTCTGCCTAGATTTTAAAGGGATTGAGACAAACGGGCCACACCAACCTGATGTTTTAATAACTGAATTTTCCATCTTTTCTGTTCACCTCATTTTCCTATAATCAGCCACAAGTAAATATATGTATGTGTGTGTCTGCATGCATCAGACAGCTAGGCAAGTAGCTACAGAGGTAATTTTGTGAAGTTACATTAATCACAGTGAAACTGATGCATTAAGTTTGAAACAGGATGAAAAGAAAATCAGACAAACTGTTTCAGTGTTATCTGTTGTTTAACCCTGAACAAAGCTTTTTTTCCGCCTCACCAAATGAAGCAGAGTATCATTGAAGTATTTACACTGAGATATAAATTACTGTGTTAGAAGTAACAGCTCAAAACCATAACAAAAATCAGTTCATCTGAATGTAAAAGATGTAATCTACTAAAAAAACAAAGACTCTGCTGATTTAACTAAGTACTAGATAAAGTAATAAAACAAGCTAAATAAGATACAGTATCTTACTTTATTTTACTAAATCAATTCCAACTACTAATTATTACCTGACAACAACAAAAAAAAGCCTTAATATATTTCCTTTGCTTCCCGGCATGTCTTATTAAAACCTCCCAGCATTATTACGCACATTTCACTGCTCATCATTGTAAATGCCTCATGATTAATGAGAAACAAAATATTTGTGCAAGCTTCTGTCGATAGGGTATGTGTATTGTTTAAGCAAGCAAGGCAACCAGGCTATAGGAGACAACTCAAAGCTGATGCCACAACCTCATTCATTCCAAAAACATAGTCTCAGCTAAACACCTGCCTTAATTCTGGCTAACAGAGAGATGGGACATGTAACAAGACTAAATTGTTGTGTTAATTTTCAGATGTAATTTTGTAGCCAGGTTTTTGCTAATAAAAACAGGATGAAGAATCCAACTACTCTTCTATAGAAAAAATAATTCACAGAGCAAAGAGACAAATTAACAAAGTAGTCCTTAAAATTACACATCTTGTTTTTACTGATGTTGCAGGATAAAAAAAAATAAAAATCACATGTATGAACTAAACTGCATCCAGTCATTTTAGTAACCAGCAAACATCATTTTTTATGTAAATGTACAGACATTTGTGTATAAAAAGCCCCAAAATGGGGTTTCCAAAGACTTGTACACTATTTTAGAATGCACAGTAAGGTACCTAAGTACTTAAAACCCCAAACAGACCGTGGAGCCTAAAATCCTGCACTGCGCATCTTTAGTATGTGGGTAAAAGTTTCAGTTACACGGGTACCAAGTGCCCACAGGTGGAACTGGAGGGTTCAAAACCTCCAGAACACTGATCCTAGCAGTGGGTCCCTGTGTGACAAGAGGCCCAGGAGAATGCAAGAACTGTTGACTTCCTGGGAATTAAAGACCTTTGGTAGAAACCTGTAACAGCATCATGGAAAATGTAGGGCAGAAGGAACTGGAGGTCAGCTAGTCCAACATCCTGCTCAAGGCGGGGCGGACTCCCAGGCTAGATCAAGCACTGAGAGATTACCTGTCTGAAGGTCCTTACACAAGTAACACTCCCTGATAGCAGCACCGCTTCGTGGCATCATCAGGCATGGTTTGTAGTCATGAGAAGTGGCTCTAGCAATGGAGTCTAAGAATTCTGAGTAAAGGGACACGTGTTTTTCAAGTGTCAGCACACAAAACCCGTGTTAAACAAATGGAGCGTCTGGTAAAGTGTTTTGTGGCAGGAAATGGAGGAAGTTAGCATTTTTTTCACTTGACTAAAAAACAAAAAGCAGCTTTGGGTAACTAACATATATTAATTAAACTCATAAGCATACTATTTTGGGGAAAGCTCTAAATGCTCACATTTAAGGAGCAGTAACTGACATACTTACTGTTTATTTTCATATGGATAATATAATAACACTATTCACCTATTTGATTCCAGAGGGGGTTAATTCCTGGATGGTTTGGATCCCAGTGCTTTGCTGTATCAACCTGTAGGTGTTAAGGACTGGGTTGCCCCTTAGGTCTGTTCCTACATTTGTACTCTATGGAACTAATGGCAGTTTATTCAGCTGAAGGACCATTTTTTCCTAGTGATCTGCAAAGTTTAGCTAGTTCCAGGAACTGGTGCCAAACATGTCTGTTCAAACAGGCTATGTCATCATATTTTTGCCAAGACAAGGCTTCATGCTGAGGATGATGTTGGGGGGGGGGGGGGAGATAACCATTAAGTTAAAATAATTTGCCATTTCCAAGGACAGAATGCAGAGAGTAGGTGGGATGCTAGTGACTAAATCATAATTTTTATCTCTCTAGGCTCAGCATTTTCCTATTTAAATCAAATTAAGAAACCCAGGTCCTCTGGAAAATTCTATTGAATGGTAATTGCCATTTAAAGCTACTAACAAGCTTTTTAGGTAAGTAGAACAGGATCACTATTAGGCTTCTGGCAGCTTATTTCTCTTGTACTGCATGGGCTGCCTCATGGCTACTTTACAGTGGACTTAGCAAATCCACCTGTTCTGTCACCTTAGGTACTGATTTATCAGATTAGGCAGGTAGAAAACTCTAAAATCTCTCATCAGGAGCTGGATGCAATTATTTGACCATTGCTAAGACAGCACTGTCTTCACTGGCACACAGACAGAATCAAAATATCAAATTATCCTAAATCTTAATTTTTACTAAAACCTAATTTACTCAAAAGTTCATTTTAATTTAGCAAAAACTATGTATTTAGATTCCTAGCTGGCTTTGGACATTCCAGCTTCATCTTTTGCTTTTTGCTCTTCTCATATTTTGGATAATAAAAATCAATTCATGTTGCTTTATTTTCAGCTTTAGTTTTGTGTAACTCTAAAACTTTAGGAAATGTTCTTAAAGACTTTTTACAAGTTTTGCTTTTAGATTTTTTTATATACATATATTTCTGTGGCTTCAGCACAATGTAGTACCACTGTGAATCAATCAAAAAAGCAGGGTCAAAACCTATCTTTAGTAGGCTTTGACTCTACAGGCAGTGTTACAGTTGTGAGAAAAACACACGTTTAGCTGCTTAATGAGATCCCAGAGCAGCAGCCTACCTGTGATCTCTGTCTTCTTTCATCATCTGTACTTCCATCAGTCTCCCTTTTCCTGTTTGTTCCACTGTTAGCTAAAATTGCCAATAAATGTGAAAATGGAAATGTAATGAAGTGGTAGGTACAGGCAACATAGCAATGTGAAGATTTACATTTAAAAGACAGTTCTAAAACTGAAGAATTGTATCAACTATTACTTACAGGGCATTCAATGGCCCTTTAATGCAAAAGGTGACTACAAGCCTAAGAGAACAGTCTAGAACCTCTTCTTAGCCACAGGCTTTAAAATTAAAGCAAAAATGCAACTTAAACTAGATGTAGATGTAACAAGGAAAGGAGCACTACAGCAACCCCATCTAGCTCTGCTTTGTGGGATAGCTCTTTTTCTACATACATGCCACAATGGTACCCACTAGGCTGCAAAGCCCTCATCCAAAGTCTACTTGCATACATAGCTCCCTCTTTAAAATAGCGGCTGTTGGAAACCAGAAATTAGGAAGAAATCCTTCTTTCATAAATCTTAGAACTTCTCAAGAACCACCATGTATTAAGCCAGTTTGTAATGACCTTTGCAAAGGCACTGATGAACGCATGCGTGATTTCTATGAAACACTGCAGTGGGAACGCAGAACAGTGGCTGAGTTCATGCACAACAGAACTGAACTGCAAAATTGGCAAACTAGGTACCTGAACTAAGGAAATGTTAAGAAAATCAGGTAGCTCTAAGGCAGCCAATCCATTTAGGCATTTTATCATGTGCTTTTTGCTGAGGAACAACATGGTCAAGCTATGTAACACAGGGAACTGCTTGAGCGAAGAACCAAAGAGGTCAAAGGAATTTAACTATGTGATCAGAGATCAAGAGTTGCAGGTGGCTGTCCCTCATGTTCCTTATGTCCCTCCTGTTCCTGACAGAAGATTAAGGCCAGGAAAAATTCCAGAGTGGAGAGAAACCTGAGGAAATGGGTATGGTTTTAAACGATTTTCTAATTTTCAACAACAACAAACTACCCAGGATCAGAAGTAAAAATGCTTATGAATTTCTGTGTTTTCTTGAAAAAACAACAAATGCAAGGTTAGGAGTAATTTATTTTTTTGCTGTATTTTGCTCAAGCAGCTCTGGAGTCTGACCCTTGTTTCACAAAAAAAAAAACATAAAATCAATGCCTGGGAATTGTGTCTGTACTAAGAGCAGAGAACTGCTGTGTTGCTACAGATGGCACAGGACCATGGGCCCACAGAGTCTCTTTGAAGAAGTATGTCTTTAGTTCTGAATGATACACTAGTACAAAGGGAAACTGAAGTAAGCCAAACTATACTTTTCTTTCAGAAATGTGGGAATATATTGCCAGCAACTGGGAATAGAATGCAAACTAGTACTCAGAGATACAAGCACTCTCATACCTTATCTGAGCACTTGTAATCCATTTTTATGTATTACATGTAAGCATATTCCTTCCCAGCAACTAGCGTCCTCCGTGTCAGATTTCACAATTTTTGCTCACAACTCCTCTCACTTGTCATTTTACTACTACTGCAAAAAAAAAAAAAACAACCCTCATAATGGTATCACTGGATGTGCGATCAAGTAAAACATTTACTCATGCACGTGGAAGAAACACTGTCCAGATTGGTTTATGCTGCCACCCAGGCAATCAGAGTGAGAGGATTACATTGCTAATTATACCTCTGAGGTGCTATTCTTACAGCATCAGGCTATGAAGACCGTCTCCCTCATGTATTTTGTGTTTCATCTTTCTTGCCTTACACATGTGGCTCCATGTATGTTTCACATAAACTTACTGCTGAACACAAGAGATGGAAAAATGTTTCCAAGCAATACATAATTGCAAATACTTCACATTTATTTTGTTTATGTTCTTTTGGGATTAATTACTCCAGGGATATGGTGCTCAGTTCCAGAGGTGCAGATCTCCTAAAAACATGGATCTAAGCAAAGCAAAGAGAGGGAGCTATGCAAATGGAAAACACTTAGATTGCCAATGTACTTAGTAACCTCTTTTTGTTAGTCTGTTGAAGAGGATGGTAACAGGCTGGTGGCAAGAGCAGCAACAGATGCATCTAAAAATTACTACCCAGTGTTTGGATGAAGCACGTGCCATATGCACGTCTGCCCTTTCCGCTCCAAAGGGAGCCGACCAAGCTGCATTTAACGATGGTGAGGGGTAGGTAAAACACGAAGCACGGCTGCGAAGAGGGCGCACTCCTCCCCCCCGCTGTCCCGCAGAGAGGCCGCGCTACCCTCACTCCTGGCCCTCACCTCCTTCGCCGCAGCCCCGCTGAAGGTGTGAAGTACCAGAAAGGAGGCGCTGCGTTACCTCCCGGTCCTGCTCTGGAGCCTGCTAGTGCCGGGGCAGGGCCGCTCCCACCCCTCGGAACCCAGACAGCGCGGGGGCAGAGGGAGTCTCTGTGGTGTTAATTCTCAACCGAGGGCCTCCGCTCCGCGTGTCGCCGAGGCATCAGTCAGGGACTGCCGCAGCACTCGCGGCCGCCAGCTAACGGCATGCGCTTTAAGTCTGCTCTGTCCGTGCTGCACTCGCTTACCGCGGGCAGGGCGGGAATAGGCAGCGCCGGGGAGCCGCTCGCCCCACGCCTGGGGCGGGGAGCACCCGGGTGCCGGGGGTTGACATGGCCGCTGCCCGCGAAGGGGCCGCGCTGCCATGGCGACGGGGGCGGGCCCCGGAGGAACGGTGGGAGCGGAGAGGAGCGGAGCGGAGCGGAGCGGGCCGGGCCGGGACCGGGGGACGCGCGGGGCGGTGTTCCCCGCCGCGGGTACGGCGTCGGACCCACCTGGCTCCCGCCGCGGCGGGCCGCTGCTCTGCCGCCCGGCATGGGGAGAGGCGGTGCTGGGGCTGGCGCATGCGCCGCTGTGCGGAGCGACTCGCGGGGTCTGCCGGCCCAGGCCTCACCTTGCGCTTCCGCGGGCGGCCGCGTCCTCGGCGGCGCTGTGCGGGAGGCGGCGAGGCGCGGAGCCGGGCAGGAGCGGTGGCGGGAGGAGAGCGGGTCACCTCACGGGTGAGGCCGCGTTACCGAAGATCACTCCTTTGACCCCAAGTCAGAGACACGCGGCCGAGGCCGGCCCGGGCTGGGCGGGAGCCAGGCCTCGGGCCTCCTGCGGCTGCCGCGCACCGCGATGTACACAAAGCAGTGAATAACCACAGTTCGATGTTTCTGGCATCAGTGTGAGGCACTGATTCTTGTTAGTAGTTAAAACTTGGGAATTTAATTGAACAGCTTAGGCAGAAGCTCTTCCCTGTGAGGGTGCTGAGGCGCTGGCACAGGGTGCCCAGAGAAGCTGTGGCTGCCCCATCCCTGGCAGTGTTCAAGGCCAGGCTGGACACGGGTTGAAGCAACCTGCTCTAGTGGAAGGTGTCCCTGCCCATGGCAGGGGTTGGAAGTGAAATCCACTGTGGGTTTTCATGGTGGTGGTTTGGAGATGCCACACCGACATTGGTTAAAGGGTATGTTTAGCAGGCATAAAAGGTACTTGGCTGTTGGACACAAAGTAGAATAGTATTGTACTGGTTTATTTTAACACTAGAGTTGAGTGCACAGTTCCTGATCAAAGAAAATAAGAGGTGTAAACCTCTGTGACGTGTTAGCATGCGAGGCCGGAACATCTGTTTGTGGAGTGAGTGTCCTTTTAACACACTTGTGAAGTTGTGGCTTTCAAGATACTTGCAGACTTTTGGCAGTATTATGTGTCTGTCTCATTAGCCATATTAGTGCATTAGCTGGTAGAATTAGTGCCTCTAGTACCTCATATAAATTATATAAACAATAGCAGTGTTGACGTAGTTTTTACTTAGGCTTTTAAAAAGTAAAAACTTAGTGGAAGTGCAGAAGAGGTCTCTGTCACTCCTTTCTGCTAAGCTAAAGGAGCTGTCAGCATGGGAGATGCAGGACTTGCTTCTTGAAACGTGTCAGTGCTATTACTATTGAAGCATCTCAAACATGTCTTGTTTTTTTGACAGCATTAGCACGCTGCATTTCCTCCTGCAGCTGTGATTTCTGAACAAGCAAAAATACCAGCTGTGGGAATCTCACCTCTCTCTTGCCCTAACAGACCCGAATGCAGTTTCCTTCCCCTGTGTACCTGTCAGAAACTGGTGCTGGAGTTTACAAGCTTCATTTTTTAAATTAGCTACAGGGCACACGTTTAATGTTCGGTCCTGCTGAGTGTGTGCCTTTGCCATCAATTACACTCCTTGTGTGTAATTCTGAGCAATGAGCGATCCTCATTGCTGGCTTGGGGCTGGAATGCTGAGCACGGCTGTGTACAGGCCATGTGATAATCTGTTCCCAGGATTTGTGTTTATCATTACAGAGTTAGGTGAATAAACAAACCTGCTGCATGCTTCAGAAAGGAGTTACAAAGTTCATAAAATTCGTAGAAGAAAGCATATAGTTTTCTTTGTTTTGTATAAAAATGCAACCACAGAGGCATACTGCATGTTTGAAAATGAGTGCTGTCTTTGCTCCTTGCTGTCTGGAATGAGGATAAAGATGCGGTTTTCACCACACTGTGCCCTTGATCTGGCTCATGGTGCAGCTACACCTCTACCTGCACCAGCTGAGTGCAGGTTGAGCCAGGAAGGGCCCCTCAGGACTGTGGCACAGGGAAATCCGTGTTGCAGGGATGTTCAGAAATTCATCTTCTGCCAGGCACAGGATTTTTTCTAGGTCAGAGAACGAACCAGAACCAGCAGAAAACTCACTGAGCTTGAACATGGGATACAGGCTCCTGGATACAGCCAGAAAAAGGTTGGTTGTGCTTAGAGCAACTCAACAGAATCTAAGGGCTGAAATGGAGAAAAGGAAACTTTTTCTGGGAAGAAGTGTAAATTCAGGTTCAGTGGAAATCCTGGGAACGTAATGAGATTCTCTAATACTGTTCGGACTTAATGCAAATGGTGGAACTCCACTGAAGCTGAACCTGCCTCCCTCAGATCTGAGTTCTGCCGTTTAGATCTTACAAAGTTTGCCTGCCTGGAGCTTATTTTAGATCACCACATGCCACCTTGTGGCAAATTAACATGATGCATCTGTTCTTTTTCCAACTCTAAACCACTGCTTTTCTCTGTTAAGGTCCTGCCCTCGTTTTACATTCTTTGGATTGATGTCGAGGCAAGATGGGTTTCATCTCCAGAGTTCCTGCCCTTCATCTTGGTAGTTCTGCGAAGCTTGGAACCACCTGTTCAATGCGGTAGTATTTTGTAGTATGAGGTTAGGCCAAAATAAAGTGTGCTTCTCAGCAAGATGTTCTGAGTGCTTCCCAGAAACCTTGCTATTCAAAGCTCACAGCTAGCTGAAAAATAAGTACATGGGGATAATCCAAAAAGTTATTGGAAAGAATACGGAGTGTTTACCTTCAACCTTCTATCTTTTTTTCTGCATCCAGGTTGTCTGTGGCCCTTACCTCTTTTGCATAAGCATTGGATTTAAATGCTTTATTCCTCTTTTTATTTCCTGACATCGCACTTTCTCACTAGAGATAGCAGTGTTATTTTCCAGCGTAAGCACAGCCTTTACAAAGATGTTTCAGGTTTTTACTACAAGCCTTTCATTTGCACTGTTTATGAAGGCATATCATACATTGTAAAATGTCTGTCTTGTTTGCTGGGAACATCAGTGTGATTGGAAAGAAACAAAAGACTACAAGGGATAACCAGCAGATGTAATGAAACAATGCCAATAGCAAGAGAAAAGAGGCTGTTTCTGGGGCTAGGAAAGTCCTCAATGGAATGTGGTCATGCTATTATGAGTTTGGAGAGTGGATCCTAAATACAAACAAGTTTGTATGCACATTCACTGGAGCTGGTGGATCTTTTAGATGCTGAGTATTGTGCTGGAACTCATTCACCTTTTTAACTTTCCACCTTTTCCTGGAAAAATCAAGTAATGCCCATGGCTGCGAGGTTTCCAAGATGTGTTGCCTGGACAGTGTGTTGGTGGCACCTCCTGCTCACCCCTGCTGTGCTCTGGCATACAACAGTGTGAGGATGGAGACCCCTCACTGCGAACTGGACTTTGTTTCAGGGCAGGACAAGTGCAGCAGATAAAATTCTGCTGCATGTTGTGACCAGTTCATGTCCTTTTATTTGTTTTTTTGTATATCTGGTTCCTGTTTTTTCTAGAAAGGCAAGTGTTTCTCAGTCACAGTTACCAGTCTTCTCCCTATTGCATAGAGGTTTCTTGCTCTTACTGCTTTTATTATTATTGTTGTTTTCATGGGACCTTGTGTTGCATTTCCTTAATCTTTTGGGGTTTTGAGTGCTTCACATTTGTTAGCTTCAAGACCTTAAAACTGTGCTTTGGCCTTTATCGAGCTGATAGCCTGATAAGTCAAGTGAGAAGTTGTTTAGAGTAAGATTGTTGTCACAAAGAGTAGTTGTCCTGTAGTTTACCTTAGCCACACTTTTCATTAAAGGATTTCTTTTTAATAATTACTGTGCCTCAGCAGAGAGCTAATAATCACCTCCTGTTTTACAGGAGCACAGGGGAAAGGCCTGAGTGTCTGGGGCTTTCAGTGGCTGTACTTTAAAATCATGATTAAGAAACTTGATAGTCACAGTCTACAGCTTTGACTCTGGTGAGTTCTTTCACAGATCAGGGAATACAGGAGCTTTGAGACCCTCTCCTCTCCTCTGTGTGTAGTGCGTGTTCTCCTTCCAGAAAGGTGTTACAGAAATAACATTGTGGTAGGTAAAGGTGTAAGTGGCTGCATTTATTTCGGTTCTCTGCTTTCATCATCCTCCTTTGTGTAACCATTTTACTTTCTAAGGCAGATGCTTACATATTTTTCATTCTATAAAGCCTGTAATGCTTGAAGTTACACACAGCTCTAGAGCTGCAAATTAATATGAGCCACAATAGGGGAAAATAAATTTCCACAGGATAACATAGCAGCTGTAAGTTTGCAGGGAGCTAATTTAAACCATACACTCTTACCAGTCTGCCTTGAGCATTAGTAAGAAATATCTGAAGTGAGATGTGGTTCATTCTGGTTGTAATTCTAGTGGTAATTTTTTCATTGGTTAAAACTTATCAGTCTACGGTTTTTCTCTTTTTTGTTTTTGGTTTGTTTTTTTGTTTGTTTCCATATCATAAGTCTACAATTGAAGGGGATTTTCAGCGTTTTCTGTATTAGGCTGGACTGATGTTTCTGACCTAGAGGTAATAAATGCCAGCTCCCCTGTGATGCTGAGTACAAATTCAGAATCATATCTGTACAAAATAGTGAACTCAATGGCTGCTAAGGCCAATTGCATGCAGCTAATTTTCTGTCAGAATGGATATTGTCTGTATCTCAGATTGAAAACAATTATTAACTAAATAGTAGTTCTCTTACCATCACACGAGAACATGAAGAATGGAATAGCTGCTTCCCAAGGGAGATGCTGAAAGAAGGAGGACTGAAGTAGTGAGTTTGGCTTTTGGGTTGGGTTTGGGTTTTGTTTGTTTTTTGGTTTTGTTTTTTTTTTGTTGGGACAGAAAGAACAAGGACGGAGAAGTATGAATTAATTTTAACAAAACACCTGAAATGGCCATGAAGCAGAGTCAGGCTGTGTGAATCCCGTGGTTGCTAAATCAGAATGACCTGCCACATGATTGCTGTAGGGTGAAGGCAGAAAATGTAGATCAGGAAAAGTGAGCTGCAGAAGTGAAGTCATGTGGTTTCTGACCATTAAAGCACTGAACAAAACCCAAAGAGACAGTGGATGGGTTAGACTTTGACGCAGACTTGCAAGTATTCATAGGAATTCATTGCTACGCCTGCAGCTGGTGTCTAGAGGGAAGGGGACAGCTTTTGGTAGGTATGGAAATACTGCTGGAGAGCTGCATCACAAATTGCCTCAGAAGCAGGGTTGTTCCAGCCTCAGCATCACAAATTGCTTCAGAAGCAGGGTTGTTCCAGCCTCAGCATCACAAATTGCTTCAGAAGCAGGGTTGTTCCAGCCTCAGCATCACAAATTGCCTCAGAAGCAGGGTTGTTCCAGCCTCAGCTGCCTGGTATTTTACATGATATGTTTTGTTAGGATTTTCATTAAGTCCTATCCAAGTCTCTGAATAAACCCTTCCTAGAAGAGGAAACTATATGGTTGTGAAGGGGGTAATGAGACAGATTCTTCATCCCTCAGATTCTTCATCCCTCTTACACTGTTTACAATGCAAGAACAGGAGTAGAACAGGACATGGTCTAGCTCAGTGCCATCGATATTGCCATCGTATCTTAAAGCTGATCTGTGTTCATCTGTGCTGGTTTCCACAAGACTGTTCTACAAATAACAGTCAAACATACTTACTGTAATTCTGTCTTTCTTGGCATAATGGGGGGGGGGGAATTTTGTGAGCTTTATGCTCCTCAAAAACCCATCAAGAACCATTAGGCAAGGGGTCAATTTGCTTCAAGCTCACAGCATCCTCAGGGTGCTGCAAGACTCCGTAAGACCATCAGAGAACAAAGACTAGGCACATACATTGTACAATATCCTCATTTAACAGAGCATCAGATCCTGCATGAAGGCAGGACATTCAGAAAGGTGTATCTGAAATACAGCTTCACCTTTTGAGAGGAAAAGAGGTTACCTCAGCGCACTTAGCCGAAATTGTTTAGGCTGTGGTCTTGTCTACCATCCATGAACATTTGTGTCAGTAAAAGCACATTTGGACACTGTCTGCCCAGAGTTTAAACTGACAAGCATTCGCGCTGGAGCAGCATGGACACTTGGTTCTGCAAGGACATAAGCAACATCATATGATGAACCTGCTTTTCTACAACTAACTGTAAGTGGCTTTTCTGATCCCACAAAGTTGAGTTATTTTGTTTTTTATAAGAAATAGGGTGCTTTAAAATTGTGATTGAACTCAAGGAAACTGCATTTGATTTGCGGATATTATGGAAGCAATAAAAAAGAGTTAAAAAAAAAAATCAGCAGTTTTCTGGAGATTATTTGTTCAGCTCTACTATTAATACTGTTTTGTTTGCCAGACTATGATCAAAAACATTTGGCAGGCAAGACTTGCTCAGGAAAGTGAGCCAGTAGAGTTGAGCTGTCATCCAAGTACGTACAGAAAAACTGTTCTCTTGGCATGGAAAACAGACTGTTTACAGAAATAATAAACATGCCCTCTAAAATTATGTTCCTTCTCTCTAAAATCATGGAAGGTCGCAAGACTTTGACCCTACAGAAGGAGCATAACACTTTATGAGACTTCTGTCAAAGCACATGATAAAAAATAAATACACTGTAATAAAGAAGTGTCAGTCTGATGGCTCAAATGTGCCTTCCTAACATATCCTGTCTCCCTTCTTTCAGATGTGGTATGCACACTGCCACGCAAAGGAAGCCCATCTGGAGGGGATATCAAATCAATCCATTTTCTTGACGTATCGGTTGATGTAATTAACTTTTGTTTCATCTCCCAAGTAAACCTTGTAAACAATAAAACGTGTCAAAGTGAAATACAATTTATTGAAAAGTGTAATTTGCCAAAGTCCTTATGGTGATTCAGCTGCTGGATAGAGCCCCAGATGCTGAGTATCCATGAGGAATAAGAGCCTGATCTGGCCAAGACTTATTTTTTCCCTGAGTCCTGACGATAGATGAGTGAGCTATAAGCAGGGTAGGAGGTAGTGGCTGGCTACCTCAGCAGCTGCCTGCAGCTGGAGGAGGAGTGTGTTCACCACCGTTGCCAACATACCTGGAGGGTGATAATCTCACCTTGTTAGTTCCTCAGGATTCCCAGGTTTATTCCTTATTTGGGTTCCTCCTTTCTCCCCTGTAAAGCTGTTCACTTAAATGCTACTGTGTAAACTCCAGGCATGGGAGTGACAAATATCACTCATTCTTGAGTAAAATAGCGCAGCTTTTTAGTATCATTTGAACGTCTTTGATGGAGACCCTCAGCCCACTGTTCATGGTCTCCTTGGTGCAAAGCAGACAGAACAGGCTGACAGAAAGGTTGTGGTTATACTGGCCACAAACTAAAATGTTTTGCAGGCGTTTCCCTGCAAAACTGTCTGGGGCAGTCTAGCATCAGGTAGTATTTACAGATGAGAACTGAGATGAGGGAACCGCAAGACTTCTTGACTTGATACATGCTACTCTTCAGCTGCCTGCAAGTAAAAGTGTTTCTAAATCTCATTGCACTGCAGCATCTCTGACTGGGATCTGCTAGTCTTAGAATCGACCTGCTAGAATCAACCAGGTTGAAAAAGACCTTTAAAATCATCAGGTCCAGTCATTACCCCAGGATTGCTAAGTTATGGGTGTCCCTGCTAAGGGGAGACAGAGCCTAGCATTCAAAATGACAGTGTTTGAGTTCTAGGAGGACAGTTTACCCGAGTTAACAGGTTCCACATGAGAATCTCCACTGACTACATAGGGAACCAAGGAAACCAGTGTTAGTAGGTTAATCTTTATTAATAGATCCTTTCCTCCTGCCCCTAATTACTTGCACAGCTATTTCCTTATGTTCTTCCCAGATGCCTCTCCTGGTTTTCACTCACACACTGCCCGCTGCTTGCACAGACACAGCAAAGGGGCTCTGATCTCACAGCTCAGGCACAGTAGCAGCAGCTCTCCTTACCTGCATGGAGTTCTGCATGGCCTGCAAGCAGGAGAGAGTCAGCATTGCATCTAGGCCTGCCTGTAGCTCCATGCTGTCACAGGTATTTTGGGGTCTCACTGAGCAAGGTCAAGAAGCTACAACACTAGTTTTGAGGGCAGTTCATTATAAGACTGACACTATTCTATTCTGTGTCAAACAGCCATTAGCCCTTCTTCTGGCATTCCTGTAGTTCCAAGGAAGCGGAAGGGTATCCCTGCTGCCTTTTTTACCCCAGTTGCCAAAGTCTTTTCATGCACAGCAGAAAACTAGACAGATAATCCCTCCTTTGGAACTTCACCAGTGCAGCTTATACATGTGCAGAATATAAAAGATATTTAAATGTGAGCTCTCAGCTTGCTGATGGTGAGTGTGTGAGTATTTGGCTTTGGGTCCATCTGTGCCCTGCCCTACAAAACAGTTTAATCCAGAAAGAAAAAGAAAAGAATAACAGAAATCTTCATTTGCTGGTAGTTTAGATTGTTTAGATATAACTCACAACTGTAAAACATAAGAATTGCATTTAATAGTTAATAAATTATACAACACACAGCATGTATTGTAATCTGTACTGCACATAATCTGTATGAAGTATTAACACCAATGTCTAAACAAAATATAAAGTCACTGTAGGCAATCTTAAAGCTCAGCTGTACAGTTTTTCTGAACTATTTTGGCTGTAGATGTGATATTTCACCCGTTTACCCTCATATGGTATTAATTCAATTGTTTTATATGTTATACATGCGTAAGAACTAGAAGGGATTTCCTTAAACAACAAACACTGAGGATAAAAAGGTTGGTGTTTATAAAAATGTCAAGCTCAAAGGCTCTTCCATAACTTGTTAGAGGATTGCTATCATTTAGGACTCAAAAGCCAGTCATTCAAGAAGTCCTCCAGAGAGAAAAGCTAATCCTGAGTTTCCACTCATGAGTTACCAGTCTGGTCCCTCAGCAGAGCATCACCAGCAAGCGTGCTGAAAGAAGATCAGAGAAATTTGGACATAGTTTAAAAGACCCAAAAAGGGCTGTAGGATGATTCACTTCTACAGCACTTAGTCCTGGGTTTCTCTCCTGTTTGGTTTGTGCTGAGCAGCTTGGTGTGAGCAGCCTAGAGTACAGTGCAGCTGATGTTCATGCAATGCTCTGTTGCTGTGGGGTGTTGGAAGGGGAATTCTGTCCTTCAGCTGAGCTGTTGCTCTTCCAAAGGCAGGGTGGCAGGGGTGACATCATGAAAAGACATAGGGTTGTCGTATGTCTCTACCATTAATCTTAGCTCACTGTATGTGCTGGAAGGCATTGCTCAGTCACAGGATGAGATGTGGGAGCTTTCAGGGTCGTTGGGCACAGTCTCCGTGACTGAGCAGGAGTGTGCAGGTACTTACATGCTGTGTCTCAAAGGCTGTTGATGACCCACAGGAGCCAGTGCCTTGGCTGTTGGATGTGCTGATGCATTGGTATTGCCAGTTACATGCAAAACCTTCTTGGCAATAATGATTCGTATTATTTACTGTCATTGTTAAAATCACAGCTTTTCTGTACTCATGTTGCCATTCATTGAAATACGTTAAGTGGAACTTTACCTTTCTGTATCAAAATCCTGTGATATAACGAAAAAAAAACATTAGCTGGAACTTTATTTGGGATGTAAGGGGAATAAACATGGTCTGAATCTGATTCTTCTGAGTAAGCAAAGGGCTCTTGTTAAAACTAATGGACAGATTTGCATTAATAGTACTGTACTGCTGAATCTGTCTTTAATACTGAGTGTCTGCACTTGTTTTCTGTTGATGCTGGTGTTTGATGCTGTGGCCTAAGAAACAAGCACCAGCAGCTGGGAGGCTGTAGGCTACTCTGGCTCTCCAGAAGTGTACCGGTGTGTAAAAAAGGCTGTAGAAATGGGGACAAAAAGGGCCTGCTGCTGCCCTGCTGTGTGGCTTTGAGGCCAAACCTTCAGCAGCTGTTGTTGCTGTGCTCACTTTGCTGGCAAAAGGCTGTCACTTCAGGTTTGCTCTTCCATGAATCCCCCTATTACACTAATATTTAGTCACTAAAGGCTAAGCCAGTCCCTCTTTCTTTTGTCCTCTGTGATGTGGGTTAGTGGTGGACTTTGCTGTGCTGGTGGAACGGTTGGACTCGATGATCTCAAAGTTGTTTCTGTGATTCTATGAATATTCTCTCTATTCTACAGCTTCCTTTGCAGATGTTTCCGTTGCAGGGTGAGTGATTGTTCACAGCTTGTGCATAACAGAACGCACTAACCCGGAGCTCGGCCGCCCGGCTCCCGGGCTGCAGGGGCGAGGCTGCGGTGGCAGCCGGGTCTTCCCGGAGCCGGACGGCCCCGGAGCCGGCGCAGAGCCCTGGGACGGTCCCGCGATACGCCGGTGCCGGCAGAGGGCCCCCGCGCCCCGGCTGCTCCCGCCGGGTGTCTGGAGCAGCCGCCCGCCCGGCCCCGGGAACGTGAAAACGCGGCAGGAGGAGCCGAGCTGCGCCCACCCGCCGGGGCCTCGGGCGGTCTGCATACAGGTAGTTCCCTTTGCATGAATGATGAAAATCTCTTAAAATCTCAGCCTTCGAGGGGAGTTTTCTGTGTAAAGATTGGTCTTTGTTAACATGGCTTCTTTTAAAGTTTTTCATTAAGGTATGACCTTCCTAATACCTTGCTTCATTCTAAATTAGACTGGTCCGTGAATAGCAGTAAGAAAACCATATTGAACTCTAATATCTGAAGGGGGCTACAAGAATGAGGGACTCTTCATCAAGGACTGTAGCGATAGGACAAGGGGTGATGGGTTTAAACTGAAACAGGGGAAGTTCAGGTTAGATAGAAGGAAGAAGCTCTTTCCTGTGAGGGTGGTGAGGCACTAGCACAGTTTGCCCAGAGAAGCTGTGGCTGCCCCGAGGCCAGGTTGGACACAGGGGCATGGAGCAATCTTCCCTAGTGAAAGGTGTCCCTGCCCATGGCAGGGGGTTGGGACTGGATGAGCTTTAAGGTCCTTTCCAACCCAGACCATTCAGTGATTCTATGATTCTATGAAATGGGATACAGGAGGCAGAAGTTGATGACTGTAGAAAAAATTTCCCTTTCCCTCTTCCATCTCAGGCTTAGGTGAACGCATAGGACAGATTTTTCATAGACATAAGTATCACAGTGCAGTGTATCTGTGTTCAAGGACAGCCAATGGTGTGAACTGGGGAGGGTCACTGCAGGGCGCAGGACCCGAGATGGAGTCTTGATTTCACTTGCAGTGATCTGTGTCCTGGGTTGGTTTCAGAGCAGAGCACACTAAGCAAAGCCCTGACCTGAGGAGTTATACAGAGGATGCTCAGGATCTTCACACAGGTTGGAGCTCAGCATCAGGGGTGTTCTCCTGGGTGTTAGGGAGCTCCCTGCAGTAAGAAATGGCCTGAAAACCAGGCTGTGAGCCCAAGTGCATACACCTGCAAAACAGTGCTACTGCCTTCCTGTCAGCTCCCATGAAAATCGGGTTCCCTCAAACCCAGATCCTGCTCTCATGGAACCAGGGACAGCTGCCCCCAGTGCCAGCTGGTTCAGGACCAAACCTGGGGGCTCCGTTTGGTTAAATTCAGCACATCAGCACCAGGCATCCGTGTTTCTTTACGGCTCCCCACTCAGATGAAGTGAGGAGAGCAGGTCCGTGCCCCATCACCTACATCCGTCACACTGAGCACAAGTACTGTTGTTGAATGTTTAACCTCATCTACGAGGTTACAACTAAGAGTCCTACAACGGGGTTTTAAGAATCCATTGAATCTCACCCATACTATGGAGATTAAAACTGGTAAAGAGTCCTAGGAACACAAACAGCATACAGAAATCCTCATCTGCGTGGTGCACTT